AATGTACTTTACCCTCACACTATACTACTCAATTTTAGTTTTTTTTTTTTTTTTTTGCTTTTTATTAAAAAAATTTCACTATTACTTTTTTCTTTTTTTCATTTTTACTCTTATTATTTAAAATTTATTTCTTCAATCATTTGTTTCTTATTAAAATTCTAATCAAATTAATTTTTTGATATAGTTTTATTTGTTAATAAATTATATTTTCTAATAATGAATTTTACAATAAAATTTTACAATGTCGGTGTTTTTTTTAAATATATTATTATAATTTATAAATTCTTATTTTATATATATATATATATATATATATATAGAGAGAGAGAGAGAGAGAGAGAGAGAGAGAGAGAGCTAAAAGTATATTTTAAATAGTTTGGCTTAATTTTTTAAAAAAATTAATAATCGATTAAAAAATTCATAAGTTTTATTTTTTATTTTATATATATTTATTTGAAATTTATTACAATCAATTTTATTGTAGTTTTTTATTTTAATCTATTGACTTTAATATATTTCATACAATTTAGCGAGCTTGGTCTTTTTTTTTCTTTATATATATATTATCATGAAATTAGGTGCAAAAAATATAAAAAATAAATCTTTAATTTTTTTTATTCTTAAGTATAGTTTGAAGATGATAGAATATATATGATATTTTTTAAAATTTTAGTTTGAACATATATATCTGATTATATTACTTTTATGGTTTAAAATTTATTTCTTTAATTATTTATTTCTTATTAAAATTCTAATCAAATTAATTTTTTGATATAATTTTATTTATTAATAATTTTTTTTAATGTATGAATTTTGGAATAAAATTTTAAAACGTTTGTGTTTTATATTTTAAAAATATATTATTATAATTTTATAAATTCTAATTATATATATATATATATATATATATATATATATATATATATATAGAGAGAGAGAGAGAGAGAGAGAGAGAGAGAGAGAGAGAGAGAGATAAAAGTATGTTTTAGATAGTTTGGCTCAATTGTTTTTAAAAAAGTTCACATGTTTGTTTTTTGTTTTTTTTTTTATATATAGTTATTCAAAATTTATCATAATCAATTTTGTTGTAGTTTTTTTTAGTCTATTGACTTCAATATATTTCATACAATTTAGGTAGGTTTTTTTTTGTATATTTGTATATTTATTCTATATACTCGGATCCGTGTTTTATATATATATATAGTTTTATTAGAAATTAACTATAGTTCTCGCACACATAATACCAATTCTTTATCATTTATTTTTTATATTCTAAAATTTATTTTTTAAAATAAAATAAGTTATAAATGTTTTAAAGAAAATTTTCAATTATTCAAATATAAATTTTTATGCTAATATATATATATATATATATATATATATATATATATAAGCGATTTCGCTTAATATATAGATTCAATTTACATTAATAATCGAAAATAAAATTTTTACTTACAATATATCATACGAATCGTTAACACTATATACATATATAAAAGGTGCTCGACCGCAGCGTAGCGCGGTACCAATCTAGTTATTACTATAACATTATCTCTATTATTTTTACTATTATCATTATTAATAAAATTATTTTTTAACTCATTATTTTTATTCATTTCAAAAAATAAATATTCAAAATTTTAAATTTTAAATTTTATTCTAATTCTTATTATAAATACAAATTGAAATGAAAATAAAACTTTAATTTCTTAATTTTTATATTTTAATTTTAAAATTTTCATTTATGATAATCAAATCACACCTTAACATTTTATTTGAAAGCAACAAGTCCAAGTGAGGGGATAAGTAAGAGAAATGAAAAAGGGTGAAGCTCAAATAAAACGAAAAGGAAAAGGGGAGCTTTTTCCTTCAGTTTAATGTACGGACGAAATGATAATAATATTCCACTGAAGTTTAATGTACGGACGAAATGATAATAATATACCCTGCAACATCTCAAACTCCTTTCCGGAAGTTAAAAAAATAAAATAAAATAAAATAAAATAAAATAAAATAAAATAAAATTGAAGAAGAAGAAGAAGAAACTCCGTATTGTCCTGCTTTTTTTTTTTTTATTTTAGATAATATACCTTCTTTAACTTTTTGCTTTTAATTGAAGGCCTCTGATAATTAAGGAGTAAAATTTAAATTAGTCCTTCTAGTTTTTTAAAAAGGAATTAAATAATCGCTCTGGTTTTAATAACTAATCGGTAAGTCTCTACATTTTTTAATCTATTTATAATTTAATCTTTTTAAAAATAATTAAAATTATGAAAAGATTAATAAGAAAAAAAGATATTTTAAAAAAAGTAATATTAAATTAAACTATGATCAATGATGATTAAAAAATTAATTAATTAATTAATTTTTAAAACAAAAAGATTATTTAATTTATTTTGCAAAATTAAAGGAAGTAATTTATAATTTACTCGATGATTAAGCAATGTTTTAACGAGTGTCATGCATGATTGCTTGAAATATTGAGGTGAATGAGATGAGAAGTTATGGTTTGTATTGGTAGATGAGGTGCTGAAGCTTGAAAGGGAATTGAAGTCTTTGAGCAGAATTCCCACCATTGTTTTTTAGAGGAACTCCTATCTTCTTCGTTGTTGCCCTTTGAGGGTCTTGTCCGGCTACCATTTTTTATATTTGGCTCTTTAGAGTCTTAAATACAGGTTTATTCACACAACTTTGACCAATTTCCTAAAACCAATAAGCCTAATCACCACCGCACACCGTACAGCACTAAATGATTAGCGTTTTGGTTTTAATACTCGGATATTCTAAAGTTGGATTATACACGTGTAGACCAAATTCTTTTTTCTCTCAAATATCAGGTAGCCAAATCATATTTAGATTGAACTAGTATGTTTCCAACGCTACGAGTCGAGAATCCGATACAATAAAATTATTTAAAAATTTTAAACTTTTTTAATTATAATATTTTATTTAATTAATTTTTTTCTATTGTTTTTATAAATTCTCTACTTAAAAAAACATAAATCATTCTTATTGATGGATTGATCTATATATATTTATATATTTAGTAATCAATAAAATTAGCAAAAAATAAAAAGTTGAATAATTGATTAGTTTCTTTAAAAAATTATTTTAATTATTTTATTCTAAATAAATATATTCTATAATGTTAAAAAAATATTTATAGTAAATAATTTGCATTATGTTGGAAGATGTATAGTTAATTTTTAATTAAATCAATGATTCAATAATTTTTTTTATATGTCTTGACCATATATATAGTAAACTAAGATAAATTATTTGAAATATACTTTTAACCTTTTAGAATAATATATATATATATATATATATATATATATATATGCAACTATCATGTAAAAATTTTAAGAATTCATGATATATATTATACCAATTTATTTTAAAAAATCATGTTTTAAAATTTTATTCTAAAATTCAAATATAGAGAAAAATAAATTATATAATATCGATAAATAAAGTTTCATATAAAAAATATTAATTGGATGAGAGTTTTTATAAAAAAAAAGAAGAAGATAAATTCAAAGAATGAAATTAAAATAATAAGAGTAATATAAGTTGAAATATATGTTAATTTTAAAATATAAAAAGATATATTATATAATCATCGGTTTGTGTGGAAAAAACTTATGATTGATTTTTCAAAATTTTAAAACTCGGTTAAAAAAAAAAAAACATAAATTGATGGAAAAAAACAAAGAAAAAATTGATTTTTCAAAATTTTAACACCCAATCAAGTAAAAAAAACAAAAGCATAAATTGATGGAAAAAAGCAAAGAAGAAAACCAAAGGAAAACAAATAGGCATATGTAGTGCATCAATCAAGAGATTAAAATTTTTATTTTAAATTTTTAGTGATCAAAATGAAATAACTTAAAAATTACAAAAAAAAACGTAAGCTACGAGTTTTTGTAAGCTACATTTTTTTTTTTGGATCAAAATGAAATAATTTAAAAATTAAAAAAAGGGAAAAAACTAAGCTGTAGTAGAACGGTGATTTACCGTTCCTATATCCCGCGTGTTGCCGCATGGTGAGCTATACAACATTTTTATGTATTCATTCATGTAAAATATAAAATTTAAAATAATTATTTAAAAGCATCATGCGAAAAAAATTAAAAAAAAAAAACCAAAACATATATCTCATATTTTGCTATAGGGTTAACTAAATGAAAAGTCACGCAAAGTTGAGTAATATAAAGTTGCCAATTAGATATTGTTTCACATAAATATGTACTTTATTAGAAATATGTATAATAACCGATAAATAAAATAATGATGAGGCGAGTTTTTGAATTTTAGATGATTAATTTTTACCATATATTCTTCATCCGTAATTTGTTAATGAGATAGAGAGACCACCAAAAATAAAAAGACAAAACGAGCTTATTCAAATCGAGAATTTGGCAAAAAAAAAAGAGATAAAATTATGCACGGTAAAAATTAAATGATCAAAACAAAGTAAAGATTATAAAAGAAGGATCAAAATAAATAAATAAATAACTTTCACTAAAAGCAATACACACACACGCACGCACGCACGCACGCACACACACACACACACACACACACACACATATAAACAATAAGACTAAAAAAATTCATTTTGCATAAGGTAGTAGGGGTGAGCAAACGGTTCGATTAACCGAAAACCGAATACAATTGGATCGAATTATGAAATTTGGTTCGGTTTTTAATTTTAAATTTTACCATTTATAATCAAACCGAAAAACCGAAATGTATTCCTAAATTGATTCTAATTCTAATTTTTTATTTTCAAATACCAAATCGGCAAATCCCTAACCCTAACTCCTTGAGCGTCGCCGGCTCGCCGCGTCCGGGCGTCTGTCGTTTGCGTGTGTGACTCGCGTCCTCTCTCACTCTCTCGGTCCTCACTCGAGTCACTCCTCACTCAAATCTCACTCTCTGTCTCTCTTGACTTAGTCTCGTTCTCATCTCTCACTCTATCGACTTCGAGTCTTCGACTATCGGATCTTCGTCTCTCTTTCGGCCTTCGATTTTGGCTTCATTCCTTTCTCTAGTTCTCCTCTTGTCCCGCACTCTCGGTCTCCACTCCACTCCCCAGGTGGCGATCCAACCGGTCCTTCAACCTCCAAGCTCCGAGCTCCGGCTTGCTCACCCGTCGTCGATCTCATAGAGTCACGCCTCACGGACTCATGAGTCACGGTCACGATCATCCTTGTCGGTCAACGTGCATAACCTTAATTAATTACGCCTTAATTTCTTAATGATTTATTTAATTACATAGAAAATCAGTATCACGATTCACAATGTAATTATTGTTGGATATTTTTAGTATTGGAGATTAGAGGTAATTATGCCTTAAACATAAGGTTAGCTTAGAAGTATTATTCTTCAATTGATGGTTTGGTTTATGCGTTTGGAGTGTTCGGATATTTTGATAAGTCTTGTTATCTTGATTTTGTTGGATATTTTTAGTATTGGAGATTAGAGGTAATTATGTCAATATTTGGTGTTAATTTTAACATCTAGGTACTTATGGTTCGTTGTAAAATTAACTTCTCTTTATGCGTTTAGATTTTTTTTCTTATCTAAGTTTGATCGATCGGTGTTGAGTTTTTTTTTCTTTTTAATTTTGATATATTCACTTGTACTGTCGGTATGCATGCCTTCATTTTGTTGGAATTGTTTGAGTTTTGCAAAGAATGGAATCTGTCTTTAATAGGACAACGAAAACAATAATAAGAGTGATTCTTAATTTCCTTATTTTGGTGGAGAAGATTTAGGTCCGCAATGGGTTTATGATCGCTTAAGCTATTAAATTCCTAAACTTAAAATAGAACAAGATGCTTCAATAAAGAGTTCTAAAGAAGCCAAAAGATTGCATTTTGTGGAGGTAATGGTAAAAAATGGAAAATTTCTTTGCATTTATTACATTTCAAAGGTTTTTTTTTTTTTTTTTGGTTAATGGAGGTTCTTTTTTGTAGAGTTTGATTCTACATAACTTTGAGAAGAGCAATACTTTGTTTATCTCGTCCTCACAATGGTGATACTTGGGTAAAAAAAAAAATTAAGAAAAGAAAAAAGGAATGGTCATCTAGTATTACGGGACTCCTATAAATTGGTCATAAGATATTTTAAGGTAAAAAGCTGATTATATCCATAACAATCATTCAAAGACTATAAATTGGTCATAAGATATTTTAAGGTAAAAGGCCGATAATGTCCATAACAATCATTCAAAGACTTCTATTTGAGGTAGGTCTTGTGTTTGCTACTAACATTAATTCTCTCTTTTTAAATTTTTAAACAATTTTTTTCCTCATTACCAAATTCAAGTTATTTTACATTCTTAAAGGCGAGACTTCTTCACGTGGTACCCACCCGAGTTATTCGATCTCATTTTTTATTATACGTAAGTTAACTTGATGATAGTCTTGTTTATTCCGTGAGAAGGATTACTTGATATTTAACATGAATTAAAAAAATAACAATAAATAAAGAGTAGATACACAAGTTTGGTTCATTGTTTCCGGTAGGCACTAGGCGAGTGTCGTAGTATTGGCGATGAGCCTACTACCTTGGTGCCTCTTGCCTAGCTAGATTTTTTTTTTTTGGCTTGAGCTTAAGGCGTGTGAAGCTTAGTACTCTTTTTCTTATGTTTTTATGTAGATGTCGCAATCTCAATCCGTAGAGATAAATTATGAAAATGTGGATTCAAACAATCCTAATCCACAATCAAGTGCAACTCCAAGTAACACTCGAAGACGGTGGCAAAGAAAAGAAGAGGAAATCAATGAAGCCAAGATCGATGGTGTGGGATCATTTCACAAAGTTTGAAGATAACACGAAAAACATGAAGTCTAAATGTAACTATTATGATGAGGTATTTGCTTGTGATCCTTCACAAAATGGGACAACTTCACTTAGGTCTCATGTTTTGACTTGCAAAAAAAACCCTTTTAGTTGTATTGACTCTATCCAAACTCAATTAGACCTAAGAAAGCTTGAAACGGGAGAAACAATCTTGCCACATGAAAGTTTGATCAAAATGTTAGTAGAAAAGATTTAGCTGAAATGATCATTCTAGATGAGCTTCGATTTAAGCATATAGAGGGCAAGGGATTCAAAAATTTTTATTCTAATTTACAACCTATATTCAAGCTTTCATCTCGTTTTACAATTTCAAGAGATTCCTATCAAATTTATTTAGATGAGAAAATAAAGTTGAAGCGAGTTTTTAAACAAAATAGTTAAAGAATTAGCTTTACTATGGACACATGAACATCTATTCAAAGAATCAATTACATGTGTTTAACGGCTCATTTTATTGATAATGATTAGAAGTTGCATAAAAAGATCTTGAATTTTTGTTCGATTGATAGTCATAAGGGAGTAGATTTAAGTATTTTCATTGAGAAATGCTTGATTGATTGGGGAATTGAGAAGGTTTTTAGAGTTATGGTTGATAATACAAGTTCGAATAATGTGGCAATTAAGCACTTAAAAGATGTGATTAAAAATTGGGGTTATAGCATCTTAGATGGTGAATTCATTCATATGAGGTATATGGCACATACTTTGAATCTAGTTGTTATTGATGGGTTAAAACATTTTAATCCTTTAATCGTTCATATTCGATCGGCCGTTAGGTTTGTGAGGCAATCTCTAGCTAGGTTGAAAAGATTTAAGGAATGCATTCAACTTGAAAAAATTGATTCTAGGAGTTTGTTACAACTAGATGTTGCTACTAGGTGGAATTCAACATACTTGATGTTAGAGTTAGCTCTAAAGTTTGAGAGAGCTTTTAAGAGATATGAGCAAATTGATCCTTTATATAGAAGTAAATTTTATGTAGATCATGGTGATAATGTTATTGGGCCACCTAATGTTGATGATTGGAAGTCTTGTAAGAAGATGGTGGGCATGTTGAAAATTTTTTACAACCTCACTTTGCATATTTCGGGTTCTTTGTATGTGACTTCAAATATTTATTTGAACAGATTTATGCTCTTGAACATGTTTTGAAAAAATGGCAACGAAGTGGGGATTTAGATGATTTTACATTGGCCAATAAAATGAAAGAAAAGTTTGAGAAATATTGAGGGGATATTAAGAAAATGAATAAGTTGATTTATATTGCGACAATACTTGATCCTAGGCATAAACTTGTCTTTATTGAATTTTCAATCAATGAATTGTATGGTGATTTGGAGGGTTAAAGAATGTCAAATATTATCAAGGAATCTATGTATGCTATATATGATTTCTATTATCGTTCGTCAACATCTCAAGATGAAATTGGCCAAGGTAGTGAGAGTCGAAAAATAGGCGTGGGTTGTGCAAATGAAGAAATGATTGATGAAGAAGAAATTAGAATAAAAAGGGAGATAATGATGCATTTTGAAAAATACAAGTGTGATATTAGAGGTGGAGGAAATAAAACGAAGTTGGATAAATATCTTAGTGAAGGTGCTGAAAATAATAGTGTTGATTTTAATATTTTAGAATGGTGGAAAACCAATTCTCCTCGGTTTTCCATCCTTTCACAAATTGCTAGGGATGTATTGGTAGTTTCGTTTCTACTTGTTTCCTTGGAATCGACATTTAGTATTGGAAGAAGGGTTCTTGACTACTTTAGGAGTTTTTTTGACTCCTAGCTTATTGGAATCTCTTATATGTGCTCAAGATTGAATTAAAAATTCATCGACACTAATTATTATTGAAGAAAATTTACAAGATGTTGAGAAAATACAAGATGGTAATTTCTATAACTCTTTCCTTTTCATTTATTATTTCTTTCCTCTATATTAATGTTAAAAGTTTAATTTTTTTATCTTATAATTTTCAAAGTTACCACTTGCCACTACCTCTACTACAAATGCTTGAATCTTGATAGGTTGATGACTTGATGGTGTTTTGGCTTGATGAATGGTATGTGACTATGTGTAAGTTACTAAGTTTTTACTTTCTAAGTTTGATTTTTTATTTCGTTGTTTGTGTAAGTTTAGTCGGTAAGTGGGAATTGTAAATTTTCATTTTCATTGAACTAGATAAGAGAACCACGAGTAGGAAGTAGACTATCGCCTCGGTGCCTCGTGCATACGGCAGTGGGCGGTGAGCTCATCGCCTTGGTGTCTCCTACCTATCGACAGTAGGCGGTAAGCATACTACCTTTGATTTTCGTAGTATGTTTAATATCCTCTTTCGGGAGTATTGAATATTTGTTGGGATTTCATTCTATTGTAGATCCCGAAGGAGTGAACGTATTGCAAATGTACGTAAATCATTTGGTTTAGGATAGGAAGAGAGCTCGTGTCTCGTCCTCTTTATTGAGAAATGAGAACGAACATTCTACCATGCTTTTCGTTGTTTAATGTTGATTGTATTATATCCGGATCTTTGTTTTGCCAATAATTGTTTTGCGGGACTTATTTTCTTTTTCGATATATGACTATTAAACATGTTGGGTATTTAAATTTGACTTTAATTGTGAATTTTTTTTTGGTTGAATCCTTGTTAGAAAAGAAAATGGTTACTTGTTAGCTCGACATTGCTAATTACTCGAGCTTAAGCAAAGAAAAAATAAATGAAAGTTTTGGGAGAACTGTCTAAAGTCCGAAATGGAGAATTAATGAAAAGTTCGGTTAAACTGAATTATTTCAAAACCGAATTGAAATAATTTGGTTACAAACCGAACTAATCGAATTAATTTTAGTTTGGTTTTGATTTTTATTTTCCCTACTTCGGTTAATCAAAAATCGAATCGAATTATGCTTAACCGAACCATTTAACCGAATGCTCACCCCTATAAGGTAGGAACAAAATTAAAACATAATAGAATTTTAATGACCAAAATAAAAAAAAATTACAAAATAAGAACAAAAAAAAAAAAGAAAACTTCGAATAGTGAAACTTTATTTAATTTTAATATAGAAAGAATAATAATCAAATATAATAAAACTTCAATGATCAAAATAAAAGAAAGACCACAAAATAAAAAGAAAAACATAACAAAAAGTTTTACTAAAGTTAAAAAATAGTTCCTAATAGGAAAAAAATCAAATATAATAAAAATTTAATGATCAAAATAAAAAACAATTACAAAACAGGGACTAAAACAAAAATAAAATTCTAATAAATTTAATGGCCAAAACAAAGAAAAAAACCACAAAACAGGAACTATAATAGAAAGAAAAGTTTCACTAAAAGAAAA